AAAAAAAAAAAAAAAAAAAAAAAAAAAAAAAAAAAAAAAAAAAAAAAAAAAAAAAAATGTAACCAACTCCGACTTTGTCTCCGGCTTTGTATTTAGTCACTTTGGCTCCGACTTCAGTCACCACGCCAACAATCTCATGCCTGATACAATTTAATTCCGATTAAATGTCATCATTACATATCTTCTTTTTATCCTAGTAGGAAGCTATTGTTACTTCCAACCGAGAATTAATTTTGGAATTTGTCTTAAAAAAATTGAAATATTTAATTAACATTTTTAATGGATGAGCCAAGAATACTATTCCTCTGTTCACCCATAAGAAAAACATACAAAACAATTATCGTGTTGATCGTATTAAAGATGTTTAACCACATAAATTCCAAACATAAAAAAAATATAATCCAAAGTTAACATGTCTCATCTGGTGCAATATACATAAACACTCATGATCTCATCCAAAAAAGAGCATTAGGTTTGTATTTTTTTAAAATCTGATACTAGTACATGATTACATCTGAGTATGGAGGTGGTATCTTCTTACCCGGGGACGAGAGGGTAAGTAGTAAACCCCCACTCGTTTTTCGCCATACATACATCAGTGTGGCAAATTCCACAGAACAACACTTTGAACCTCACATCCTTCTCCCCCGTTTTCCTATACATTCATTCCACCCAAACTTAATATTTATTCAAATAAGACATTAATTAGGACTCTTTTTTTCTTTGTAGAAATATATTCATTAAGAAGAAATTGGAACCTTCTTGAGAAACGGAAAGGCGAGAGAACTCCGGATTCGTCTTTCGCAGCCAATCCGAACGCCTCTATCTCAAGAACCTTTCCCATGATGGATACTCAACAAGAGAATATAGAACTTAGTTTTCTGTAGTGATAATAATTAATAATTGAGTAAGTGTAGAGATAATGAGAGACAAAGGTTTAATATAGGCGATGCTTGTTAAACCGATTTGAGTGAGAGGAGTGAGGACCATTTCTGAAAAGTCCTTACTTTGTTTATACCGGCCATATAAACACGAAAAAACAATTATTTTTCAAAAACTATTTTGGTATCATGTTGAACTAAATATGCTTACCGAGGGTTATATTTCCAACCTCATAGTGAAAATTTCGCAATAAAGAGGTTCTATTATATTCTTTTTACATTCGAGTAGATTCGAAAATATAGTTGAAAATTTTCAATTGAACATGAAAAAGTTTATTTGTTAGTCATAAACTCATAATTTTTTGGCGGTAAAGACTTTTAGATTTTTAAGTTTTGGGATTTGTCGTATCACCGCAAAGATTAAAAATGTTTTTGAAACAATTGAAAGCTAACTCATTAAACTACATTACCACTGCCACAAGATGCTTCATGGAAAATTTCAGGTCAGTATGGTTGCCGGCATAACTTTGAATAATTATAGAATATTCATAGCAAAATTTCATCCACACGTGGGACATGTTTAACCACATATAAATAGTTAAATAGTAGTATAAGCGATTTTCTCGCAGGACTAGTTGACTCTGACAAGTCAGTGTGTGGGGACCATTCCGAGAGTTGGGAGTCCATACGATATATGAATAACCCCTCAATTGGGAAGAAGACAAAATGTTTTTCTTTCCCATAGTTTCATATATAAATTTAATTCAACAAGAAGTCAAATCAAATTAAAAAACAGGATAGAATCTAGACACTAAACCCATCACTTCAATTACTATATGATCTTGTCTCAACAAGAAGTCAAATTAGAAAAAAAAAAATAGATATGAAACCCATTAGTTAAATAATCATGTGATACGGAACCCACTACTTCAATAACTATGTGATGTTGTTCATATACAATTAGGAAGTTCAAATCAAAAGTTTTAAAATCAAAGTAGTATAAAGAAAATACAGCCAATTTATTTAAAACATCCAAGCTTATGAAAACCAAAGCCGTTCATTTCGTCCAAGTGACAATCACTTGAATTACATTTTGATCAAATTCAGTTTATTTATAAAATAAATGCTCCCATTTTGAGACCGTTTGATTACTAACATTGAACCCCGGAGTTTAAGGTCGAGTAGCAGGCAATGTGTTCGCAATGTCAATGACAAAACGATATCTAACATCTCCCTTTGCAAGTCTATCCATGGCGGTGTTCACATACTCCATGGATATGGTCTCAATTTCTGCTTTTATTCCATGCTCAGCTGCAAAATTAATCATCTCTTGTGTTTCTTTGATTCCTCCAATAGCACTTCCCGCAATCGATTTCCGTCCTGTCAAATCACGGTGTTGTTTTATTTAATGTTCTATATGCAAAGGGCTGAATAAACATTTGAATATAGTGGTCTACTACTTAGGGTTATATGCATATACCCAGGATTAAGGAAAATGCATGTAGATCAAATGGCTTGTCCGTCGCACCAAGTAGAATAAGTTTACCATTGGGTTTGAGTAGTCCAACTAATGGTAAAATCGAATGTGATACAGAAACAGTATCTATTATGCCATCCATAGTTCCCATTGCAGCCTGCCATCATATAAAATCACTAATTAAAGCTTGATATAAGTATTACACTAAAACTGATATAGTTTATGTCTTACCTGCATTTGGTCTTCATCAGTACTAACCAAGAACCCATCAGCTCCAAAATTTTCAAGAGCATCCTTTGATTTCCCAGCGGTCGAACTAACCACCGTGACTTTACTCCCAAATGCTTTAGCAAACCTCACTCCAATGTGTCCAAGGCCGCCTAGCCCCACGATTCCGATATGTTTCCCCGGTCCGGCCAGTCCAAAGTACTTCATAGGACTATACATCGAGATGCCTATATATAACAAATCAAAAACATTTACCTGTCACCTTAAAAATATTACAGAGATTTAGAAACATTTTGAAAAATAAAATTTGTATCATAAGGGTACGTTGAATATTAGAAATGAAAATATCATGTGTTTCTGGTATCTAAAATAAGTATATCGAGTTCAGAGGCCTCACACGTCGCTATTGGGCTTTAACGGTTCATCTCAACTTGAACTTGGTCAACAAATGTTTTATTTTTTTGTTTTTGCTAAAGAAGTCTACGAGATGAAACATAATTATTTTGAATAGATATAAACCTGCACAAAGCAAAGGTGCGGCCGAAGCGAGAGGCAACGTGTGTGGAATTTTGACTGCGTAACGTTCGTCGACTACGATGTGGTCAGAGTATCCACCGTAGTTAACAGTTCCATCGTAGTGAACACCGTTATAAGTTGCGACTGCTTTAGTGCAGTAGTTTTCTTGATCTTCACGGCAGCTCTCGCACGTGCGGCATGAATCTACTATGCATCCCACACCGATTTTATCTCCAATATTAAATTTACTCACTTTCCTCCCTATCTCACTCACTTCACCGACGATCTCGTGACTGCAATGTACAATCACACGTTTGTATATTTATTGCAATGAGTGGAACTTTTCATTCCATGTTATGGAAAAAAAACAAATTTTGGTTATGAGAATTAAAATAATACGCTAAGGATAACAAAAAGTATTGTCTCATTCTCGTATATATAGGTTGCAAGAAATATACAATCACACGTCTCTATATTTCTTGGAATGAGATGAAACTTTTCATTCCATGTTATTGAGAGAAAACAAATTTTGGTTAAGAGAATTAAAAGAATACTCTAAGAATAACAAAAAGTAAAGTCCTATTCTTGTAAATATTGGTTGGATCAGTAGATTCTTAAAGTCACCAAAACAGTTCGTATGTGTATGCAAACAACAACAATAATAAGAACTCTTGCTTTGTCTTATTAATCTTTTCTTATCTTTCTTTTTCTTCCTTGTGGAGATCATCTTACATTGAGCTCTCCTTATATAGGTAATAGAACTCTTAACTTTTCTTATTACAACATGATCTAGGAAACTTAACTTAATCCTAAATCTAATAGCCTTTAGTTATCCATCTTTCCTTTTTATGGATAACTTGTTTCCTAAGCTATTGTTGAAGCTTATCCAACATTCTCCTCCTTAAGCTTCATATCATCTTTGCTTAAGTTGAGAACTCGAATCTTCTTCCTCATTTCTTGAAACTTGATTTTCGCCAAGGCTTTTGTCAATATATCTGCTAGCTGTTCATTCCCCGGTACATGATCAACGTCGAGTAAGTTTCTTTCAATGCATTCACGTATGAAGTGATATCTTTTGTGAATGTGTTTACTCCGACGGTGAAATACCGGATTCTTAGCTAATGCAATAGCTGACTTGTTGTCTACTCTGATCAGCATCTTCTTTACCTCTTCTCCAGTTATCTCACTCATCAAATCTTGTAGCCAAATAGCTTGTTTTGCTGCTTCGGTCGCTGCCATGAATTCAGCCTCACAAGATGAGAGAGCCACTGTCTCTTGCTTTTGAGAACACCATGTCACTGGCGTGTCTCCTAGACAGAATAAGTAACCCGTTGTGCTCTTACCATCGTCTAGGTCGGTGTTATGGCTACTGTCGCTATAACCAATTAGTGTCTTTGATCCCTTTGCTTTAAACCTTAAACCGAACTCAAGTGTTCCTCGTAGATACCTTAACACTTGACGTAATGCATCATCATGGCACTTACGTGGTGAGTTCATGTATCTGCTGAGTATTCCCACAGAGAAGGTGAGATCCGGTCTAGTGTGGAGTAGATATCTTAGACAACCAATCCTTCGCCTATAGAGAGTAGCATCAACTTCTTGTTCTTCGATTGCTTTGGAGATCTTTAAGCCAAATTCCATAGGAATTAAGGTAGCATTACTTTTATCCATACCTGCATCCTTTAGGATTTGGCGCGCATAGGCTGTTTGTTGAATTTGAATTCCCTTTGAATCTTGAGTAACTTCGATACCAAGGTAGTACGTAAGTTTACCAAGATCGGACATTTCAAATTCGCTTGACATTGCTTTCTTAAACTCGTTGATCACTGAAACTGAATCACCGGTCACAAACAGATCGTCGACATAGACAGCTACTAGTAGAAGCTTGTTCTTTTCTTTCTTTCGGTAGACTGAGTTTTCTTTGCAGCACCGTTCAAACTTTAGACTCTTTAAGATGCGGTCGAGTTTAGTGTTCCATGCCCTAGGAGCCTGTCGTAATCCATACAAAGCTTTGTTGAGTTTGAAAACTTTGTGTTCTTCTCCCTTCTTTTCAAACCCTTCTGGTTGTGAAACATATACTTCTTCAATCAACTCTCCGTGCAAAAACGCCGTTTTGACATCGAGGTGATGAATTTCCCAACCATTAGATGCAGCAAGACCTATTAGCAGCCTTATCGTTTCCATTCGAGCTACAGGGGCGAAGACTTCGTCGAAATCAATTCCGTGTTCTTGAACATATCCCTTTGCGACAAGTCTTGACTTGAATTTGTTAATGCTTCCGTCTGCGTTTCTTTTGATCTTAAAGATCCACTTTAGGCCTATTACCTTCACACCTTGTGGTTTCTCAACCAAGACCCATGTTTCATTCTTGTATATGGAATTGATCTCGTCCACGCACGCAAGTTTCCATCGCTTATCTTTGAGAGCTTCTTGTAGGTTCATAGGCTCATCGTTAAGCGTTAATAGGAGCATCTCACATTCTAAGTCTGCAAGTAGGACATAGTCTTTGAGATAGGCTGGAGGTTGTGATTGACGTGATGATCTTCTCACCCCTTGTTCCTGAACTTGTTCTTCATCATGTTCTGTTTCTGCAGTTTCGGTATCTTCAGTTTCCGGTTCTGCAATTTCTGTCTCTGCAATCTCATTGTCTCCTTCATTACCTTCAGTTTCTTGACGAGTGCTGACTACATATGGACCACTACCATTGTCTTCTGTGGTTCCCCAAGTCATCTTGAACATACC